CAACGTGTCAAGACCGCTTTGGAAAACTCGCGTGCTGAGCATACTCAAGGCTGTAAAAGACCGCATCCACTCTGTCAAACAGATAAAGGACGTCATGTCGCTGATGCAGGGGCTCTTTCCCATTTCAAAGGTTGGGGTGTGGTCTTTTAGTATTTTAGATCCAATGTGATATGATGTATATAGGAAACTGCCTGGTTGGAGGCAGAAGCATTTATCCAGCATCAAAAGGTTGCACTGGCATCTGAGCTCAAGACCGTCCCAGACAGCTGGGTGCGCTACGAGCAACGGCTGAAGGAGAGTGAGCAGGTTGAGCTTGCAAAAACTATCATTGCAAGGATTACATCCGATCTCAGGGATGAGAAGATGCAGGAGGAGATATTGGCCAATGCCATGGCGGAGCTTGAGTGTAAGTCGATCACATTGCGAGTTCCTCACAGATTACCTCTGACGATGGACAATAACAGAACTCGTGAAAAGCAAAGCGATCTAGGGAGGTCATGGCTAGCTAGATTACTGATAGAAAATGTAGCACATCAACGCCCTTTTTTTTATCAGACTTATCTTGAGTATTGGTGTAGTCATCCATGAAATCAGTTCTGCCACCCCATGACCCACTCGCCACAAATCTCGCTAGAAGGGTACAATAAATAAATCTGATCAAGGTACATGCATACCGCCGAGTGTAATGAATGAGGATTTGTGATACTAGTGAAAATACATGCAAGTTTAATTAGGTTTCGCCCTTAAAGTCAACCATGGCACCTCATCCGTCGACAGTGTTGACGACCCATTCCAGAGCCAACATTTGTTTACCAAACGGCAGGTGACGCAAACTACAAATATCTTTGTTTTCAATGATACATTGTATCACATGGGTAGGGCTAGAAGGTGGCCATCGTGGAGATGTTGAGTTGTATGCAGGGGGGACAGAGGCTACACTTGCAATAGGCAGGAGCTGTGGAGAATATTTGGTTGAGCGGAGGGGGTGACACTGGTGATGTGGGCGAGTATTTTGAAGACAGGAGTGACATTTGTGCAGGGGTTGCAGAGCCGTGAGTAATGTAACTATGCAAGCGAGATAAATTACTTACAAGCTGCAGTGAGGATAGCACGAGAAAGGGATGGTTGGCAAAGCGAATGAAAAGTTGTGCTGGGTGGATCTTGCAAAGTTAGTGACTGGTTCGCTGACGGACAAACGTGACTTACATCTAGGAGAGGCAGGACTAAAGGATGGACTAGTTAGTGAGTATCGTGTAGATATCGGACTGAAGGAAAGCGGTTGCGGACTGTACCGCAGTGACATCAGTGAGAGGGAAGGTGACATAGGTGAATACCGTGGACTGGTTGTGGGTGACGTTGGGGAGTATGTCAGTGATGTAGTCGCTCTGCTGCTGTTGTAGTTAGGGGACATGGGGCTCAATGGATAGACTAGTTGGTGAATACTGCGGAGGTGTGGGACGGAGGAAGGCGATTGCAGACATACCATTCAAGACGTCAATGAGAAGGAAGGCGGCGACATGGATGAATAAATACCACAGGCTGGTTGGTGAATTCGATCGAGGGCGGGTGACATTTGTTGGTGATGCAGCTGCTTTGCTGTGTCGTAGTTAGCAGACAAGGGGCTAAAAGGGTGGACTAGTTGGTAAATACCGCAGAGATGTGGGACCGAAGGAGGGTGACTGTGGACTGTACCATAGTGACATCAGTGAGAGGGAAAGTGACATAGGTGAATACCGTGGGTGTCATTGGGGCGGACTGAAACAATTCTAATATTGGCAAAATGTACGTGCTCCATTAAGAGGTGCCCCAGCTAAGACAATGTAAACATGGTTTTGGCTGATGTGGAAAGCTGAAAATTATTCACCAAATGGTGGGTGATGCAAAGGTGAACATTGTCGTCTTTGACGATAGGGTATGTACATGCTCCATCAAGGGATACCCTGGCTAAGATGATGTGAATGTGATTTTTGGTTGGCATAGAGAGCTGAAAATTGCTGATCAAATGGCGGGTGATGCAAATGTGAACAAAACTTTGTCATTGACAATAAGGTATGTAGGTGCTCCATCAAGGAGTACCCTGGCTAAGACAATGCGGACACAGTTTTGGGCTAGCAAGGAGAGCTGGAATTTACTTACTAAACGCGGGTGACGTCGTCTTCAACGATAGGGTGGACCGTGTTCCATTGGGGAGTACCCCAGCTAAGATGATGTGGATATAGTTTTGGCTGATGTGGAAAGTCGAAAGTTGTTTACTGTGTTGCAAACGTGAACGCGAAGCAAATGCAAATGTGGACATCTTCGATGATAGGGTGCATACATGCTCCATTGGGAGCTAAGACGATGCGGACACGGTTTTGGCCAACGCGGAGAGCCGAAAGCTGTTAATCAAATGGCAGGTGGCGCGAACGCGAACATCTTCGTCTTCAACAATACAGGATACTGGCTAAGTCGGGACAGATATCATGAGGCTTAATATTGATGGAGGAAGCTGAATGGTCTCACAGTGTACGCTTGCCTTTTACACTCTGCTGCCTGAAAAATTGAACAGCTATCCATAGGATGTTGTCTTCCTCCGAGCTCTCTTGCGTATATCACATGTTAACCATAACAACCAGACTATAGTCACGAGCAAAGTTGAAGCCATCTCTACCCATGCATTGTAAGGGATGGATTGAAAAGTGCACGTAGCGTGCCACTCACGAGCTGATACGATGCTACAAAAAGTGTGTAGTAAGCCTGACTAGCCCTTGTTCATGGGATTATCAATTCCAGCTTCGAGACATGATGTATCCTTAACGTCTGCATTCTCATCTGCGGACTTTGATAAAATGTGCTCCTGGCACAAGTTGATGACAAGTTACACAGGAGTGGGAGGATGACTAAGCACAACTGCTGACTAAGTGGGGATAAAGCTTCAGATAAGGAATGGAGGTAGATAGACCCCTTCATGAAGCCTCAACTGTTGATGATGAGTTATGCACTGAATTGACTGCTGACTGACTTCTGGATTGCTTCTTCACTTGTGGGTTGTAGCTAAGTACATGGGGGTTTATATACTATGAGGGGGAGTGCAGCTTATGACAAACAAGGCACAAATGCTTGGTAAGTAATGAGTAAGGACTGAGTAATCATGATGAGTAAGCAAGAAATGAAAAGTAAGCAAGCAAAGAAGATTGGTAAGTATTGGCAATAAACAAGTCAAGGACAGTCAAAATATCACAAAATGAGCCAAATGGAGTCAGAAACTGAGTAAGCACACTGGTATCACATTAGGGGGTGGTGATGCAAGTCAGATCTCAGCAGAGACATCTCTAGATCCAAAGATGGCATGACAGATGGTTGGTGTTTCCAGATAGGGAAGTATTAATTCCAGAATTGAAGGGCATGAGTCAGGTGTCAAAGGGCTAGGGCATTGGGGGTCTGTGGGGCAATGGGAGCATAAGCAATCATGTCTCCCACCCTTTCATCCTCTCAGTGAAGTTAACAAAAGCTTCATGAACAGGGCTCTGATGGAGGAGGAGAAGGGGGGATGTCTTCTGCTGATTCTTGCAGTAAGAAGGCAAGATGCATGTCATACTCATCATGAATGCGATCAGGGAGGCTGGAGAACAGTAGACTATGCTGTAGCTGTCACAATGTGGGAAGAATGATGGATGAGATTGGAATAAAGATGGTGCAGGGAGCAGAGAAGAACAACCACATAAGACCCTTCCAACCAAGTGACAGACCTGAGGTGACCAAAGAATGTCCTTCTGGAAGTCATACTGACAAGGGGAACATGCTGACCAAGCTGCATGGGATGAGATGGGGCTGACAACAATGGAATGAACCAGGGGGCTTCAGGATGGAAGCTGGTGGGAATGCCTGGCAGATATACATACATAGCCACTGTCTCTGGCAAATGAGACAAGTGAGATGATTGATGAAGAGGCAGCCATTATTGATGGACTTAGCAAAATGAGTGTCTGATGGATGGAGTGCTGTAGAAATGCATAGGGTGTGAGGATCCTCTCCAAATTTGGAAGGCAGAACTGCATGGCTGAGCACTTCAAGCAAGTGTGAGAACAGAGTCAATATCTTTGGAAATGGTGGAGATACAATGAAAACCAGAATGCCATACAAAGGCACTAAAAACTTTAAATGCACACTTTGTTATGCCAACAACTCATATCACATCATGAATCAAGTACCAAAGTACAAGCACATGACTGTGCAAGAAGTGACATGTAATTTAACTTCACTGGTGAATGGAGCACTAGTCTTGGCCAACCAGAGTTGTACTGTTGAGTCTTCATGGGTACAGCAAGCAGAGCTAAGGGTGGTTGCAAAGTAGATTTTGAATGAGGGAGCTGTATGATACATGTGGGTTTATATATGTATGTAAAGTACCTGCAGACCAAACATTTGAAAATGTTTAAACATGCACCCAAGTTCCTTCTAAGGCATCATTGAGTCATCCTGATGAGGGTGTAAGGGTGACTGAGTCTGTGGAGTGGAAGGGAACAGAGATGAATGCAAGGTGAAAGGAGGGGTAGCTGTGTATATGACATATAGGGGTAAACGTGCACTGGGGGTGCATGTGTCATGTGACTGCATGGATCAGGGCCACCAGCAGATCATGGAAGGAAGGGTGAATGGGTGTAGTCATCCATTTACAGTACAACATGGGGTAAACAGGGGGAAGATATAAAAGGAAACATACAGAACATGAGTCCAGCTACAGGGGTAGGTGGCTCATGAGTGAAAGCAGAACATTGTCACTCAAAAGTGTGACAAGTGGTAAAGTACAAAGTCTAAGAAAGGAAAGAAATGTGAGCTGGCATAATATCACCCCCCCCAAAGGCCTGAGGTCCTCCAAAGGCAGGTAGAGGCCTTGGATGACCCATGAGCAGATTTCACTGTTAGTTGCCACTGTGAGTTGGGCAGTGAGATGACCAATGTCCAAGGCACAAACATTGGTAACAGGCAAATTGATGAAGGGGATGCTGCCAATTGAGGGGTACAAGCCCACCAAGTTCACATTTGCTGAGGGAATTAATGGGGACTGGAATGAAGGGACCATCTGGAGAAGGTCAGGTTGTCTTAGTAGTGTAGAAGATGGCCCTTCCCGCCAAATCTCCTCAGGCTTGAGTGAAGAAGTCAAGCCAGTCACAGGGTGATCCATTGAAGAGGATGTCTGCAAGGGCATCTGCAACAGCCTGGAAGTGCTCTCAGCCTTGGCCCAGTATAATCTTCTCCCAGCAATCATGACACCTTTGTTCACCATCTCTTTCAGCCTTTGGTATTCCTCCTCATCCAGGTTGTGATGTCCCTCCACTACCAGCTTCTTGTTCCTGGAGCAGCCATGCTTCTTTTTGGTCAGTGTTCAGAGGCAGGCTCAATCCTCCAGTCATTGCTTGACTCAACAGAGAGAAGAGCCCATGGACCACAATGTCAAGGGGGAGTCAGTCGAGAAAGGAATGGAAGGATGAGATGAGGGAGGGGCCATAGTCTTTGTGGACAATCTTGA